TTATAATTAATTATTTAAAAAATTACAAATATTCATCAAATTAAATAAAATTTGTGTTCTCTTAGGCAGCGATAATCACACCTTTTGTGACTTTTTTTTTTAACATGACACCTTTTGTGACTTTATCTTTTTAAGTGTCCTGTCTATTCCATCTAGAGAAAACACGAAACAACCACGCTCACCAAAACAGCTACCAGAATGGAACCTCCTCCGACGCAATCCATTGAGTCCATCAAGGCCTTCCAGCTCCAAGGAGATGAACAGGACAAAGCTGTCAACGAATGGTATGTTGTGTTCACTCTTGTTGTTCTTAATTTATTCATCGAGATGGTTATTAATGGTGATATTTATTTAAACCCTTTTTTTTTTTTTGGTTGGGATGTTGCAGTTGTTCTTGCTGGTATGACTGCACGGAGAGCTGCTTTGATTACTTGTTCTGTAACTTCTGTTAATCTCGAGCTCTAGTATGTAAAAATAAAAACAAAAAAAAAAGAAAAAGACCCAGTTCTCTATTATGTTCAGAACATGTTAATTGATCTCTTTTGAATGAGAAAGATGAGAATTTTCTGATTCAGAGTGAATTGATGTTTCCTTATCTGCTTTTTTTAAAGTTTTTTTGTTGAATCAATTACACCCTTCTAGACTCTGAATTTTTGTTCATTTTTTCTTTTTGTTTTGGGTGAAAATTGACTTAATTTGACTTCGGAGTAAGTGTGTGGGTGCCAGATTAGACCAGTGCCTGGGCCACCAAAAAAAAAAGGGAATCTTTGAAATACTACTTTCATTTTATGTGATTTTTACTCAAATCTCATTTAGCAAACTCAAACTTGGTCAAATTTGTGGCGTTGGAGAGTTTGCACTTTGCAGATGAACTTTTAGGATTTAAGTTAGTTGGTTCTGTGACATTGTTCAGTTGACATGATTCAACCATTATCATGAGGTTGAATCCTACATGCTCAACAAGAAGGGGGACCGGGGGTTTGAATAATGCATAGAAGTATTGTTCTGGGTAATCATTCATTTGAGTTAGGATCTACTTACACACGGATAAGTTTACATAAATTATAATAGTTATTTTCAAATTCAACTCTTGAAATGATGGTGCAATATCTAGTAATATATCTCAAAACAGTTGGATTTTGAAATCAATTGCAAATAATTTTTGTAAGATTTATAGATGGGCAAAGCTTAATTGGGCAAACCGGCTTCACATCTGGAAACATTAAAGTTTTACAAATTATATGAGATCGGTGGGTATTAATTATGCTAACCTATGGAAGAGAGATAGGCTTTGCGTCATATATGTCATTGGCTGTTCCTCCGGCATAGAATACTGGAAATGCACATTCTTCCCAATATAGCGTGATAAAAATCACAAATATTCTGTCCAGGATATTTTTAACAAGCATTTGGGTTAGATCTGTAAGACACTGAGACCACAGAGCATCTATATTTTGATTTTATTGCTCTGCCTGCATATGGGTTTATTTTGGTCCCAGGAAAGAAAGACATTCTGAAGAAAGAAATGCAGCAGCAACTGGTGAATGTGGAAAGTTGTAAATGGGGAATCAGAACTGTTCATTTTTGAGAAATTTGAGCTGAGTTGCCTTCAGGATTGAAAGCTTCTGATCGGAAAGGAACATTAGAATTTTGTATTAGCAGGCATATGCATGATAAAAACCATAAATTATTGCCTTTAAATATCTAAAATTTTGCACTGTGGTTTTGCATTTGTGACTGTCACATTCACAACCCTAGTTAACAGTTGCTATATGAAATAATCAAGTTCACAACATATGTGCATTACAATTCTTTTCTTTTTAATCCTAATAGTAGTTGAGTGAACTGTGAGCAGATCTCACATCCCAAAAATCCTGCTTGCGTTGAACTTTTCTTTCACTTCTAATTCCCAAGTGCATAGCAGTAACTGATATGTAAGTGATTCATTTGATAAGTCTGTCCTAGTAGTCCATTAAAACGATTCATATGTATACGTTTATCTTCCACTAACAAAAACTATGACAGTAGGAGTTACTTTCAGCGAGCAAATGTTAATTTCGACTTATGACAGGAGGAATAAACCAAACAATTGCCATATTAACTTTTCTCAACGGTTTGTAGCCCTAAACCCAGAAAGAACATCATTTTTTCTTCACATGTGAAGTTATAAGTCAAACTTGAAAGTGTAGTTTCAAAATAGGTGGAGCTTTGCTGACTTCTCCCTCATTAACAAGAACTATGGGATTGTACCGAACCTATGAAACAGACATCTTAGTGGATCTTCCACTGATTAAGAATAAAAATCAAATCCCAACTGGCTCCAATTACCAATTGCACTCTACTTAGGTCACTTGCTTATAAATTTCTACGAGTGCAATCTGTTCAGCAACAACATCAACCAGGGTTTAGGTACTTTTTAACTTTCTAGATATGGAGAAAAAGCCCTCTAAAATTTTCTTTCTTCACTTGCTGTGCATCTTGTTCATGAAACCCCTTGTTTCTTGTCAGCTTGATTATAAATTCTATGATGATACTTGTCCCAGCTTGACAAAAATTGTCCGATCGGGTGTTTGGTCAGCCATTGATAATGAAACTAGGATGGCTGCCTCTCTATTGCGGCTTCACTTTCATGATTGCTTTGTCAATGTAATGATATTGGCCCTTTCTATTTTGAGTTCAGATCTTACTATTTTCTTTAGTACAAGGTATGGTTAGAAGAGCGAGTATCTTCCGCCCCTAACCACATGAGCAGAAAAAGAAAAAAATAATAATAATAAAGGAACAGAAGGGACTAGGAGAAATGGAACTAGAATGCTAATTTCAGATATTTCTGATTTTACTCTGGGATTTGGTGTTTTATATATATATATATATATATATATATATATATTTTTTTTTTTTTTTTTTTTTTTATAAGGATAATGGTTAGAAAGTTAGT